ACAAGCCCAGAAGAGATGAGGGAAAGCCATCCTCTGAATGAAAGCTGGCCCTGAGAGGGGCTGTCAGAGCCACAGCCTAATTCTAAGGACATGAATATTTGTATTCCAAATCTCCTCCAAGCCATTTTCTCATTCCTCTCTTCTTGCTTCCTCCCTCCTTCTTGTCCCTCTGCCTTTTCTCCATTTTCTCTATTTCCTCCCCATTACTTCCAGTAATGCTCCGTAATCAGCTATGATTCTGAACATCATTTGGGAAGGAGGGGAAGCACTGAGGGAGGCTCTGAGCAAGATAGAAGGAAGGAAGGAAAGAAGGTGAGAAAGAAAACGAAGAAGGAAGGGTGGAAGGCAGACATTTCTGTAGGAGCATTTCCCATGAACCAGGCTGAGAGAATAGGGACACAGACTTAGAGGGATTGCAGTACTTGTTTGGAGTCACATAGCTAATTGCCATCTAAGTCTGATGAACTCCAGAACTCATGTCCTGTTTGCCATGTCACGGTGACTCCCTTTCCTGTCTCCCCTGATCTGTTCAACTTGTATAATATTTTCTTATTCTGATACCCTAATATCACTTTGTCATGGCTCTTTCACTCACCACAGTCTGTCTTACATTGTAGTGATCTGTGTATGTGTCCAGCACTGGCACATAAAATAGGGACAATGGTTGAATGAATGATTGGTTTATCTCTGTTACTAGATAGTAAAGAGCCTGTAAGGATCTCACAGCAAGGACAGCCCAAGATCTTATCATTAGTATTTACTCTATAACTGTTGGATTGAACATATTTGAATGTCTTAGGCACCTCTGTGGGCATCACGCCCTGTTGGACACTGAAGCTACCTTGGTAACTTTCAAGACCCAGGATTTATGTTGTAATTTCTAGCATAATCACTAAAAGAACAGAAACAGGGCGTATAGCACCTGAACAAGAAGAGAAAGACAAATGGAATGGTAAAGCTAATCAGTCTAAAAGAAGTCAAATCAAATGGCCAACAAGCACACGAAAAGATGCTCAGCATTATTGATCATCAGGGAAATGTGAAGCAAAACCACAATGAGATATCATCTCACACTCATTGGGATGGCTATTATTTAAAAAACAGAAAATAAGAAGTATAGGTGAGGATGTGGGGAAATTGAAACTCTTGTGCACTGTTGGTGGGAATGTGAAATTGTGCAGCCGTTAAGGAAAACAGGATGGCAGTTCCAAAAAAAAGTAAAAACAGAATTACTGTGTGATCCAGGAATTCCATTTCTGGGTGTGTATCAAAAGCATTGAAAGCAGAGTCTCAGAGATGTTCGTACATCTATATTCATAGCAACGTTACTCACAATAGCCAAAATGTCAAGGCAACCTAAATGTCCATCAGTAGATGAATGGAAAACAATACGTGGCATATCCACACAAGGCACTGTATAACTCAGCCTTTCAAAGGGAAGAAATTCTGACACATGATACCACATGGGTGAGCCTTAAAGCCATTATACTAAGTAAAATAAGCCAATCATGAAAGGACAAACACTGGAATAATCATTCCAATTATATGAGGTACCTAGAATAGGCAAATTCATAGAGACAGAAAGCAGAATAGTGGTTTCCAGGGACTGGAAGGAGGGGAAATTAGGGAGTTATTGTTTAACGGATACAGAATTTCAGTTTGGGAAGATAAAATTCTGAAGATGGATGGTGGCCATGCATTGTGAATGTACTTAATGACATGTACTCAGAGCACACTTAGAAATGGTTAAAATGGTAAATTTTATGTTCTAGGTATGGTACCACAATAAAAATAACTTTTAAAAATGAAGGTGAAAAAATCCCATTTATTCTCTTTTAAATTATTTTTAAAATTTTTTAATTTTTTATTTTGTTTGAGACAGAGTCTTGCTCTGTCACCAGGCTGGAGTGCAGGGGTGCGATCTTGGCTCACTGCAACCTCCGCCTCTCGGGTTCAAGTGATTCTCCTGCCTCAGCCTCCCGAGTAGCTAGGACTACAGGCGCATGCCACCACACCCAGCTAATTTTTGTATTTTTAGTAGAGATGGGGTTTCACCATGTTGGCCAAGATGGTCTCGATCTCTTGATCTTGTGACCCGCCCGCCTCAGCCTCCTGAAGTGCTGGGATTACAGGCGTGAGCCACCACACCCGGCCCCATTTATTCTTATGTGTTTCCACTGAAGACACATGGGTATCATCCCCACTCCACGCCTCCAGCTCTTCTGGGACAACTAGAAACCATTGAAATTTGGGGGTGAAGGGGCATTACTTGGAGGCTAATCCTCACCTTCTTGGTCCCTCACATATCCAGTTATCTGATACACTCTCTACCCTATACCCAGCAGGACGCACTGTCCTTTGAGAGAGGAAATGAAATAGAGAAAAATATATATGAGAAAGTATCATTTTCTGGCAGAAAAATGAGTACATTTTAATTAGAAAAGCTGCCTCGCCCGGGCACGGTGGCTCATGCCTGTAATCCCAGCACTTTGGGAGGCCGAGGTGGGCAGATCACCTGAGGTCAGGAGTTTGAGAACAACTTGGCCAACATGGCGATACCCCGTCTCTGCTAAAAATACAAAAATTAGCTCGGCGTGGTGGCAGGCGCCTGTAGTCCCAGCTACTTGGGAAGCTGAAGCAGGAGAATCGCTTGAACCCGGGTGGCAGAGGTAGCAGTGAGCCAAGATCGTGCCATTGCACTCCAGCCTGGGCAACAAGAGCGAAACTCCGTCTCCAAAAAAAAAAAAAAAAAAAAAGCTGCCCCAGAAGAGCCTTCCTGGGTGGAAGCGGCCCTACACCTAAAAGGACCCGCTCACAAAACTCATCCTCTCTTGATATCTTTTCCCTGCTCTCTCTGCCCCATCTCTGCCCATTCTTTCTGGGATCCTGATTTGACACAGTTGCTGCCACCCTGATAGCAAGTGTCTTAGGACATTCCTGTGTCCCTCACTTTCCTGGCTGAGGGCCGGAACTTATCAAAGGGGTCTTTTTGGGGAAGTTAGGGGAAATGCAAAGGAAAACAAAAAGAAACTATGAAAGTCTAGAAACAACTAAGTTTACTAACAAAATCACTTTCTTCTCTCGATATAGCTAAAGTCAAGCCATCAATGGGCTTAACGTGTTTTGATTTTAATAAGGCTTAATAAGTCTGCATTTTGAGAAGGCTGTGGACCCCTCTGGCAGTCTGGTGAAGCCATGGACCCTTTCTCTGAATAATATGTTTAAATGCACAAAATAAAATACACAGATTTACAAAGGAAACCCATTATATTAAAATTCAGTTATCAAAATACTACCCACAATGTGATATAGTAACATATGTGCTTCTTGATGTATGCATTAAATAACCAGATCTAACAGCAGTGCCAATAACTACTGGTATTTTGAAGTAGTCGTGAACATAAATGAAATTTCGAGATACCTGCAACAACTGTAATATGAAATGCAAATCTCTGTGATGTCTGTTACTGACACTCACAGGTACTCCTAATACTTTGTGGTTTATTGCCTGCATTCATCATTGAAGGAAATACTACATTTCAATTAGATGTTAGTGGAAAGAAAGAGGCAGTTTGTTTTATTTGTTTTTTTGTTTTCTTTTGTTTTTTTGTTTTTTGTTTTTTTGAGACGGAGTCTTGCTCTGTCGCCCAGGCTGGAGTGCAGTAGCACGATCTTGGCTCACTGCAAGCTCCACCTCCCGGGTTCACGCCATTCTCCTGCCTCAGCCTCCTGAGTAGCGGGGACTACAGGTGCCCGCCACCACGCCTGGCTAATTTTCTGTTATTTTTAGTAGAGATGGGGTTTCACCGTGTTAGCCAGGATGGTCTCAATCTCCTGACCTCATGATCCTCCTGCCTTGGCCTCCCAAAGTGCTGGGATTACAGGCGTGAGCCACTGCACCCGGCCGAAAGAGGCAGTTTTATTCATCCCAATTCAAAGTACCCCCCCATCCACCCTGAATTTTTGGTCTATAGGACCCTGGTTGAGAGCCTCTGCTCTAAGGATCATATAGCCTCCCATGGGTTGGAATCAGCTATCTCCTACCTGTCTCATCCCTCAGGATGACATTATTTCTCCTCATCCAGTTTTCAAGCTTGCCCCTGTAATTGACCGCCCCCAAATCCCTGGTTTCTGGCAAGGAAAATCTTGGAGCTGTCAGCCCGTTTGCAGTTTGCACTCCAGCCTGGGCGACAAGAGCGAAACTCCGTCTCAAAAAAAAAAAAGTGCTTCTTAGGTGGGAGAGGCCCAACACTGTTGACTTCCGTGCTGTGAGTCCACGGAACAACTGGCTCTTTCTCAAATTCTGTCTGAGATGTCACTCAGGCAGCCCTCAGATTTTCCAGAATTCTCTCACCGTAACTGTAGACTAGAAAATCACCCAACACCTACCTAGTAACACCAACTCTGTAAGCCACCACCACTTCTGCCCTGTCCCTGAATATGACTCTTTTCAGCTAGTTCATAGGGGACAGCTCCTGAGAAGGCTGGAGTGATTTTTTTTTTTTTTTTTTAATATCTGGAGACAGAGTCTTGCTCTGTTACCCAGGCTGGAGTGCAGTGGCAGGATCTCGGCTCACTGCAAAGTCCACCTCCCGGGTTCAAGTGATTCTCCTATCTCAGCCTCCCAAGTAGCTGGGATTACCCGTGCATGCCACCATGCCCGGCTAATTTTTGTATTTTTTCTTTTTCTTTTTTTTTTTTTTAGTAGAGACGGGATTTCACAATGTTGGCCAGGCTGGTCTCGAACCCCTGACCTCAGGTGATCCACCCGCCTCAGCCTCCCAAAGTGCTGGGATTATAGGCGTGAGCCACCGTGCCTGGCCTGGAGTACTCTTTAAACCAGAACAGCCGCAGCCTCACTCCTGGCCTTTGTGCCTGGCAGATCCTTCCCAGAGGGTGGAGATCAACCAGACGATCTCTTTGGAACCCTCCTCATCTGGAGATTGGACACTCTTTTGGTTTGTTCCCCATGTGCTCTCCAGCCCTTGGGGTTCACTCACCTAAAAATACATAGACTGGAATCCATTGCAAAACAGAGAGGGTTTGGAGGCCCTCCTGGAGATCCAGTCGGGAGAAGAAGGCCATGGTTATGGTGCTGTTCTGTTGTGGTAAGAAGCCCAACCAGAAGGTCAAAACTTCTTAAGCTGAGTTGATTATAGATGCTTTGCTATAATCTCTTATTGTGGAGTGAGATTAGCTACTGGGGTTTTGTCAGACTTGACCAAACCTTTCCCCCACTGCTCCGCCCCAACTTCCTACCCACACATCAGGTTGCAGATCAAGCAGTATAATTGATCTCGCCAGTGGTATCCTTTCTCCACGTGTGCCCCATTGTAATGAAGCAGAAATGGCCCTGGGGTGGCTCTAGCTGTGAGGGAGGGGCACTCTTGATAAATAAGTGCAGGAAGAGAGTAGCTTGGGCCTCAAATAGGACCTCTGAAAAGCACCCCACTCCCTTTCCCTGCTTAAGAAAAGAGACTTGGCAGCCACACTTGTTTCTGCCCTAGGGTTTCCCCCTTGTCCCCTCTTGTCTTCTGCTGAGTCACCTAGCCCACTGGGGCTGTTTTTCTGCACTGGATATCTGTTAATAGACTCCTCAGATCCCTCTTTGTGCCTCTAGTCCCAAGGGCCCTGTCTCAGTGGCCAGACACCTTATCATAGAGCGGGACAAGCATTGCACAGAAGGAAGACCTGGCTCCCAGTCCCTGCCCTGCCATGCTCTTCCTGTGACACCTTCGGAAAACGCTCCATCTCTCTAGAGCTCAGTACCTGCTTCTTAGGATAGTTCTGAGGATTAGATGAGTGAATGAATAGAAAGTGCTTAGCACACAGCCTGGGACCGTTTCCTGTCATTACTACTCATTGAGTTCAAGTAACATATATTGAACAAGTAATGTATGTTTCAGGCCGAGGCTTGCTTCTGTGAGATAGCCTTTGGAAAATTGAAGACTGTTGCCAGGTCTCAGACCTTTTTGTTGTTGTTGTTGTTTTTCCAGACAGAGTCTCACTGTGTCACTCAGGCTGGAGTGCAATGGGGTGATCTTGGCTTACTGTAACCTCTGCCTTCTGGGTTCAAGTGATTCTCCTGCCTCAGCAGCCTGAGTAGCTGGGACTACAGGCGCAAGCCACCACACCCAGCTAGTTTTTCTATTGTTAGTAGTGATGGGGTTTCACCATGTTGGATATATTTTTTCTGTCACTATCTATTGAGTGACTGCTGTTTGCCAGGTACTGTTTTAGGTGCTGAGGATTCAGTAAGTAAGAAGACAGACATGATTCTTGCCTTCTTTGAGTCTACAGTCTGGTGGAGGAGACAGACATTAAAACAGAAAAAAATCACAAAAATGTTAGGCTGAGTGTGGCAGCTCATGCCTGTAATCCTGGCACTTTGGGAGGCTGAGGCGGGAGGGTTGCTTGAGCCCAGAAGTTCAAGACCAGCCTGGGTAACGTAACGAGATGCCGTCTCTACAAAATAAGTAAATAAATAAGTAATAAAATAAGATAAAATATCTGTACACTTGAAGTTGTGATGTGTCCTACAGGAAAAGGCCAGTGCTTCCAGCAGAAGGCCTTGAATATAAAAGGTAAGTCAAAAACACCTGTTAAACAGAACTGAAGGGATTGCTGGAAAAATCAGATACAAAAATGGTATCAAGGGTTCTACAAGTGCAAGGGGGCATTGGTCCCTTTTCCAGGGAGATTAGCGGAACCCTGCCATCTCCCCACTCCCACTCTGCTTTGGGCTTCCCTCATTAGACTGACCAATGTGGCTCTTCAGAGCTGAGCTTGGGGAACTTTTTTGGTACGTCAGGGTGTGCTTTTCACTCCCCCGTGTGCTCTAGATGGTCATCTGATATGTGACGCTTTCCTCTTCCTCCTCTTTCTTTTCTTCCCCTTGGGCTAGCTGGGGTTCTCCTGCTGCTTCTTGGGGCTGCTAGACCACATAGAAGGTGAGATGTATCGGAGCGTATCTGCTCAGAATTTGCAGGGGAGGAGGGAGGGAGGTAAGAGAGGCAGGCCTGGCTCTGCTGGGGGAAAGCAGAGATATGGAGGGGCTTAGAGTACCTAGGCCAGACAAGATCCACAGTATCAAGAGCTCCAATGCACCTTACAGATCAGGTCTCTGCTCCCTTCCACTTTCAGGTGGGTAAATGGAGGAGATCTAGAAAGGGCTCAAGGTGATGCAGGAACCAGAGGCAGACAGGGCCAGACAGTTTTCTACCTCTGTCTCCCTAACACCTGGGTCAGGCTCTGGTGCAGAGCAGGCACTCAAGTAAATATCTGTGGAACCTGTGAGGGATACCAGGTCTCCTGCTGCCTCAGGCAAGATGGACTGACCTGGATTGGCCACCCTTTACTCCCAAAGACAGAGCACGCTGGCCCAGCTGGAGCTCTCTTGAGCCAAATGGACAAGTGTAACATAAACATCAGGGAACAGAGAAACAGCAAGAAGAAGATAATTAGGCTAGCAGATCAACCCGGAACAGCCAGCACTCGTGATTTCCCAATGACAATTCATCACCCAACGAGCAGAAGCTTGGCCGCCTCAGAGTAAGCAATAAAGAAGGAAAGGTTGCCAAGGAGCACAAAGGCCTGCCAATTTCATCTGTAGACATTGAAGGTTGACGTGATTCCCACCCTCAAGAAACTCACAGTCCGGTGTTGGAAGTAGGTGTAAAAGCAGACACCTGCATGGGGTGCTGTGGGTTGCACAGATGAGAGAAGCACCTGCCTGGCCTGGGAGGTGAGGGAGGGCTCTGTGGTGAGGAGAAATGGATCAGGTGACAGAGGCCTGGACGGGCAGTCTAAGAGACTGCCGTGAGCTCACCAAACGGGGCTGGGATAAGCTGGACCCCAAAGAAACTTCAAAGGAGCAACAGAAAAACAAAGGAGAAAAGTGGAAGGAAACAGATCAAGGGGACCGGGACCAGAGAGCTCAGAAAGTGGTGGAAGGGAGAGTAGCTCTGATTCAAAGGTTCACCCTCAACCTTTGGAATGACTCAAAGAAAGCTTTGGATACCTGAGGTTTTGCCATAATTTGTTTTCTTCTGATCTTCTCCCTCTGTCATACCCTTTTATGGTTAGGTATTACAATTTCAGCTCCATTGAAAACATTAGGCCCAGGTGCGGTGGCTCACGCCTGTAATCCCGGCACTTTGGGAGGCTGAGGTGGGCACATCACTTGAGTCCAGGAGTTTGAGACTAGCCTGGCCAACATGGTGAAACCCTGTGTCTACTAAACATACAAAAATTAGCTGAGCATGGTGGTGCAGACCTGTAGTCCCAGCTACTCACTTGAGAGGCTGAGGTGGAAGAATCTCTAGAGCCCAGAAGGTTGAGACTGCAGTGAGCCAAGAATGTACCACTGCACTCTAGCCTGGATGACAGAGCAAGACCCTGTCTTAAACAACAACAATGGAGAACCTATTTAATGCCAAGCACCAGGCTAGATATTCTAGAAGGAGTATACCTAATCCCTTCATTCACCAAATTTTCCTTGAGGCCCTACTTACTCTAAGTCTGGTATTGTTCTAGGTTTACAATTACATGTGTGTTGGGTTAGGGGGCAGGGGGCACAGACAGGGAATGAAAGAAGCGCATATGTCATCAATATAAGGATTGGGGCCATCAGATAATGCCAAAGGAGACAGAGACGAACGCTAGTAGCTGTGTGGCCTTGGACCAGACACTTCCTCTCTTTGAGTCTCGGTTTCTTTATCCGGTGAAAAGGGTGCATCCCATTTCTTTGCCGCAAGATGTAGCGGCAGTATTTGAAAAGCTTATCTGTCACTGATGGACATTTGGGTTGATTCCAAGTCTTTGCTATTGTGAATAGTGCTGCAATAAACATACGTGTGCATGTGTCTTTATAGCAGCATAATTTATAATCCTTTGGGTATATACCCAGTAATGGGATGGCTGGGTCATATGGTACATCTAGTTCTAGATCCTTGAGGAATCGCCATACTGTTTTCCATAATGGTTGAACTAGTTTACAATCCCACCAACAGTGTAAAAGCGTTCCTATTTCTCCACATCCTCTCCAGCACCTGTTGTTTCCTGACTTTTTAATGATCGCCATTCTAACTGGTGTGAGATGGTATCTCATTGTGGTTTTGATTTGCATTTCTCTGACGGCCAGTGATGATGAGCATTTTTTCATGTGTCTGTTGGCTGTATGAATGTCTTCTTTTGAGAAATGTCTGTTCATATCCTTTGCCTACTTTTTGATGGGGTTGTTTGTTTTTTTCTTGTAAATTTGTTTGAGTTCTTTGTAGGTTCTGGATATTAGCCCTTTGTCAGATGAGTAGATCAGTGACAGATTGGATTAAGAAAATGTGGCACATATACACCATGGAATACTATGCAGCCATCAAAAAGGATGAGTTTGTGTCCTTTGTAGGGACATGGATGCAGCTGGAAACCATCATTCTTAGCAAACTATCACAAGAACAGAAAACCAAACACCGCATGTTCTCACTCATAGGTGGGAACTGAACAATGAGATCACTTGGACTCAGGAAGGGGAACATCACACACCGGGGCCTATCATGGGGAGGGGGGAGGGGGGAGGGGGGAGGGATTGCATTGGGAGTTATACCTGATGTAAATGACGAGTTGATGGGTGCAGCACACCAACATGGCACAAGTATACATATGTAACAAACCTGCACGTTATGCACATGTACCCTACAACTTAAAGTATAATAATAATAAATAAATTTAAAAAAAAAAAAAAAAAGAAAAGCTTCTCGTGCCGTGTCTACCATCCAGGAGCTGTTCACTAGTGCTACTCTTCAGCTGTGGGGAGGGAGTATTTGCAATGTGCTCTAACAGGCTGAGAAGTGGGGAGCATGACATTTCCTACGGTGGCCCAGCATACACAAAAGGCCAGAGGTTTGCTTTGGCACAGTGGGTGGTTTAGTTTGATAGGAACCTCAGGTTGGTGGAGGGGAGTAGAAGAGAAGCATGGAAAGCATAAGTAGGGCTGATTTCCTCACAAATCTCCTTACGTATCTGGAGGCCTAGATATACGTAAAGAGATTTATGTTTCACTGGATTCTAGACTTAGAATCCAGTGAAGG